ATTAACTCCTGGCTTGGCTCCACCTCTTAACCAGCAAAGGGTGCTCTCAAAATTATTTATAAAGGAGCCTGGGCACCCCTCGGTGGAGCTCTGCACCCATGTGGGTTTGAGTCTGTGATGCTGTGGGGCTGGGAGGCTCTGCTGGGAGCGCAGGGAAGGTTTGCAGAGCGCTGGCAGCGATGAGCGGGGTGAAGGTGGCAGCCCTGGGCCGCCTCTCCAAGCTGCTGCAGCCCCTGCGGGCGGTGCCGGCACGGCCCTGCAGCCTGGCTGCCTGCTCCCGGACACACAGCAGGAACGCTGCCTGTAAGTCACTGCAGCCCCCCCAATCGGGGAGAAACGGGGGAGGCTGGGTGGGCAGAGAGCTGGGGAGGTCGAGTGTTGTTCTTATTTGTTGGGGGATTTGGGAACGTGACTGAAAGAGTGAAGAAAAAAAGTGTGGATAGAATGAAAGAAGTGAAAATACTTGGTGGAATTTCAGGGTTCCACTTTGTTCTTTATTTCTTCAGTGGCACCGGGATTTTTGTGGCTCCAACCTGTGGCAAAAAGCAATCATTAATTGGGAGGCTTGGCTGCTTTCAATGAAAACTGTTCATGAGCATAATTCAAAACACATTTAGTACAAATTGATTCTGACTTGGAATTTCATAGCCACTGCAATGTTTGATTTGGAAAATGAGGCCTAGAACAAGCCACAAACCCCTCCAAATGTGCTGCACAGACCTCCAATAAATCACTTTGAAGTGCAAGATACTCCTGGAGGATGTTAAAGATTTAGTTATTTAAAATACTGATTAACTTGCTTTCAGATAATGTGGGGTCTGCCAGAGATTGTGTCTACTCACTGCTGTGCAGATAATGTCAGCTGGAGAATAGCAAAGAGTAATTTCTTAGAGCTAGAAAAACCTTTTGTTTCTTATTTTATCCTCTGTAAATTTGTTCAGCATAATAACTTCTGCCAAAGAACAGAGCTGGGCTCCTCCTTGAACATTTCATGGTTACCCAGGGTAAGAGGGGATCCCATTCCAAGGAGAGATCAGCCAGTTTGTTCCATCCAAGCACCACTGCTGATTGAATCAGCCACAATTGGTCGTTAATTTTTACTCACATTCCTCTTTTCCATTTGAGACAGATACTGTTTACTCCTTCAGCCTTTCTCTCCTCTGTGCCATTCATGCAGGAAATGCCAAAACAAACTGATTTGGGAAATCCCTGTCTTTGGAATGGCTGTTTTTGGCAGGCAGGGAGTGGACAGGAGCTCTGAGTGAGGCAGCCTGGGGGTTACTCCACAGTTACTCACACCAGGGTTAAACAACTCAAAGGCTGACAGTTTCTGCAGCTTCTGGATTCCCCTTGAGACCCTGCAAGGACAAAGGGCTTTTACTGCCCTTCACTGTAGAAACACTGGGGAGGATTGTGGCATGGATGTCAAAATTCCCAGTGGTGTGGAGGGCCAGGGAGTGTCTGTGCTGAGCTCTGAGGTATCTTGTGATGACACATGGAGGTGGAGCATTTGGACATTCATTTTTCAGAATAATTGCTGGAAATGCTCTCCATGGGGACTTTTAAGCCTAATTTAGTAATTATTAGCAGAGCAGACCTGAATGAATTTTTCCTTTCTTGCCCTTCAAGAAGTAGTTACGAGAAAAGTAGAATCCTTAAAGTTTTAGGATTTTTTTTTCCCAAAGAATCGTACAAGTCCTGCAGAGCCACACAATCCAGGTGTGCCATCTCCAGGCCTGCACACACAACTGCAGTGCCTCCCCAAATTGTCCAGGAGCTCTCTTCCAAGCCCTTTCCACACGGAGTTTCTAAGCCTGCATGCATAATTTCAGCAAGTGTTTTTTATACAGGAGAAGATAAAGCCTCTGTTTGCTTTACCTCTCCAGCTGGAATTGCCTCCCCCTTATCTGGGCTCAGCCACTGCCTCCTCAGCCAGGCTCCTATCTCAGCCAAGCGCTCTGGAGGCAGAGGAAAACTCAGCATTTCCCAATCTGCTGTGCTCCCCTGTCGAGCTGGGAGCACCCTGTCAGCTACATCTGCTTGATAAAAAGCTCTGGGCTGTTTATCAATAAACTGGCCTAAATCACAGCCCCCATCTGACATCAATTCAGCAGCACTTTCAGCACCTTGTCACGATGGGCCTGAGCCAAGCAGGGCTGTTATCCTCCAAAATCTTGATTCAGACCAAAAAAGCTTCCAGGGAATCATCCTATGTTGGATTTCCTCTGCAATATTTGGTTCCCGTGGCTGAAGCAGAACTGTGCTCCTTTAAAGTTTAAAAGGGTTCTTTACTGAGTTTCAGCAACATGTATATTTTATTTTCTTGTTCAGAATGTGTTGCTATGGCAAACAGGGCTTTATTTCCTTCCCCTGGGTGGGGTTTCTCAGCTCTTCCCACTGCACTGTTTGCCCTGGTTTATCTCATTTGTAAAGAAATCAAAGCACTTGATTCAACAGGTATTTTTCTTTTCAAATATTAAAACCTTTATTTTCATCTGGATCTTGGTCCCCATCCTGAAGTTTTATTGAGTTTTACTGAACTTCATGCTCAGAAAGAAGTACCAAGCACATGTAAAAAACTGGATGGAGATTCTGTGAGTGATACAGGAGGGAAATCAAAGTGTTGCAGGTTAAAGTTATTTCTTTTTGGTTTTGTACTTCACCAGCCCATCGTTGCTGAGAGTGTGTCATAAACTTCCTTTTTGTCGTGTAGTTCAGCCCACAAGAAGTGACTTGCTCTGTTCAGCTTAGTGAAAATCTCTGTAAAAAAACTTTTCATTTTTCAAAACCTTGCAGGATCAACCCACCAAAAAGCTTAATGAAATTGGGTTGTCTTAATGGCAGAATATAAAGCAGTGGAGTTTGAGGCTTTTTATTTCATCAACTTTAACATACAGGAAAGGGATGGTTGTAATTTTCTGTGATTTTCTGTAATTACACAACCAGGTGTAGATGTAATTTTGAAGCTGCCCAAGGTTATCAGTTGTATTTAGAGGGTACACCCTGGAAGAATGGACAGAGGGAGAATGGTGGAGGGATGACAGAGGTTTGTTGGTAGATGAGAAGAAGCCTCACTATCTCTTGTTGATGCTGAATATAAAACACCTGAAGCCCATCTGCTCTGTCCTGATGACCAGGAGCTGCCTGCCCATGATCAATAGGCTGTTAAACTGTGATTAAGCCTGACTGAATCATGATCTTTATGGCAGCAGGTCTTTTCAATCTCATTGATTACCCATCTTTTTAAGCCACAGGATGCATTCTGAGAATTGAGAATAGTAAATTAGTCACCCTAAAAAATGTTGGGAGTCAAACCAAAAATTCTTTTGCTTGCAGTTTTGCTACACGAAAAAGACTGCAGGGAGGAAGTAAAATGAAATTTAAACCCAGTTTAACATCCTGACATCACAAGCTGTTTGTACATCTCCTGATGATCTGTTTGTGATCATGCAGCCACTCAAAGCAAATTGTTGGTCAGATTTCAACCTGCTCTTACTCAACTTAGTACTTTAAACATGTTATATTGTGAATGCAATGGAAACTTCTTATGCAATGTTGGTAAAGCAGGGCAAACACTTCTTGCTTGAGTATCTGGTCCTGTCTTCATTTCAGTAAAACATTCTCAGTGTTACATCAGGTTCCTTGTGAAAATTCAAAAGTACGAGGTAAAAAAAAAAAATCTCCAAAGGAGAAATGCAGATTTTCAAAATTATTTTAAGAGAGTAATTAAGAAATATGATTGTACAGCAAGATTGAAGGGTGGTCTTCTGCTCCTGGCTGCCCAAAAGAACTGGCAAAAATTAAAGCTCTTGCTTTATCTCTGTGCTTTCACTGATGCTTTCAGCTTTCTACAGGCTTTCCTTTTTTTCCTTTAATTTTATTTTTTGCTATGTGTTCCTTACTGGCAGCTGGAACAGAAGGAGTGATGAAGGTTTTAACCAGTTTCATTGAGATGTCTCTGCCTTGGGTGGTGTCGGGTGAACACTGAGTTCAGTTCAGTTGACCCTTTCACCGTCCAAGGTGGGACTATTTTGGCCTCTTGCCTTTCTGACAGCCAAAAAAAGTAAATGTAAATATTAACTTTTCATAACTTTTTCAAGTGTGGCTTGGAGAAGGGACTGTGCTGTGCCAGGGCCATTCACCTCTGTGCATTTTTTTGGTGTGAGGGCATAAACACTATTTTGGTGCTAGGGGATGCACTTGGTGTGAGGGAATAAATACTATTTTGATGTGAGGGAATAAATACTATTTTGATGTGAGGTGATACTCATTGGGTGTAAGGGGATGTACTTGATGTGAAAGAATCGCTTTTGATGTGAGGGAATAAATAAATACTCTATGTGAGGGAAAACACTTGATAAAGGAGAAACGCTTTGGCGTGAGGGAGTAAAGATATTTTGGTGTGAGGGGATGTGCTTTTGATGTGAGGCAATGCTCATTTGGTGTGAGGGGATGTACTCAATGAGAAAGAATCACTTTTGATGTGAAGGAGTAAATATTCTGTGAGGGAAAATACTTGATAAAGGAGAAATGCTTCGATGTGAGGGAGTAAATACTATTTTGGTGTGAGGGGACTCTTTTGGGTGAGGGGATGTTCTCGGTGTGAAGGAATCCCTTTTGATGTGCAGGAATAAATACTCTGTGAGGGGAAAACACTTGATAAAGGAGAAATGCTTCGGTGTGAGGGAGTAAATACTATTTTGGTGTGAGGGAACACTTTCGGGTGAGGCAATACTCTTGAAGGGACGTTCTCGGTGCGAAGGAATCCCTTTTGATGTGAGGGGACGCGCTGTTGACAGGGTCACGGGGCCCACCCTGAGCACGGGACATTTCCCTCCCCACCCTGCACGGACCCGCTCCCGCTGCTCCGGGCTGTCCCAGCATGAGGAGCCGCCGAGGGCAGGCCCAGCCCGCCCCCGGGCCATGGCGGGGAGGCCGTGCCGGAAGGGGCCGCGCCGGGCTGGGCTGGGCTGGGCGGCGGCTCCGCGATCTCCGCCGCGATGCTGCCGCTGCTCCGCCGCGCTTGGGCGGCCGCCGTCACCTCCTCCTCGTGCTCCTCGTCCTGCTCCCCACGGCGGGGCAGCCGCCGGTGCAGCCTCGGCGCCTGCTGCTCCTACCGCCTGCGAGACGCCCGTGAGTGCCGCTGTCCCTCAGCCCCCCTGCCCGCCCTGCCGCTGTCCCGCCATCGCTGCCCAGCTCTGTGTAGGAAAGGGAGACACCGAGCTCTGCCTGGCTTTGTCCTCGCTGAAGCATCAGGAAGTGGCGGTGTTTTAAATAAATGCAGGGAGTGTTTTGCGCCGCCTTTGCCTGAGTTGACCTTACGGAGCTCCGCAGTTTGCGTCTCACTGAGGGAAACCGGGGTGGGAGGGAAGTTTTTCGGTCATCCCTCGTGTGAGTGGTTTGAAGGTTTAATTTCTTTTCAATTGCTCGTTTAGAAGACCCTGAGCAGTGGTGTCTAGTGAAGTAGCCTGTAAAGTGCTGCTCGAAGCATCATGATTTGGGGTTCGGCAGAGGTGCTGCGTGCGGGTCACCGGGTGAACAGCTCCACACAGGTGGCAGTTCTGGTTTTAAGCAGAACAAAATCCTGTGGAAACCATTCATGTACCTGTCCTGCTTGTGCCAGACCCAAGCGGTCCCCAAAATTTCTGGGTTTGGGTTTGACAGGAGCTATCTGCACGAAGCAGTTTGGTCAGGATTGGCGTGGTTGGGGTTAGCTCCTGCTGCAGGAGCTTTGAACCCCCCTTTGTGGGGTAACCCCTCTGCTTGTGTTTTCTTCTAGAGAATGTTTTGCTTCCCAGTGGGAATTTTCCCATGTCTGGAGCGCTCCCAGCTCAGCTGATGGTGCTGGTGTGTAAAGAAAGCTGTAAAACAAAGCAGCCTTAAAATCTGGCAATAATAGGGAAACATTCTCTCTGGGAAATAAGGGGACAATTTCTTTGCAGAGCATTCTGCAAAGGCAGAAAGGTACTGACATGGTTCTAAGTCAAATTACTGCGCTTTCCTGTTTGGCTTTGAGTCATGCAGCTGGAATGTTTTATTTTTCTTTTGCTTTCCTGGGCACCAGCTGACTCGAATTAGCCTTTGGTGACACAGCACCTACCCTTGCCAGAAAGTTCTGTGTTCTGCATCAGCCTGACTCTGCCCCTCATCTTGCAGTGCATCCGCTGTGGCAGAGCCCGCTGACAATTCCCGGAGGCACCCGCCAGTCTCCCATCAACATCCAGTGGAGGGACAGTGTTTATGATCCCTTCCTGAAGCCTCTGAAAATCAGCTATGACCCCACCACCTGTCTTCACATCTGGAACAATGGCTACTCCTTCCTGGTGGAGTTTGATGATTCTACTGATAAATCAAGTGAGTAAAAACTCAGGGGGGGGAAAAAAAAATCTGTTTAATGTCTCGTTAATGCTAAGAGAGGAGAAACACCTGTGTGACGTAAGACCTGATGTTGAAAATGAAAGTACAGTAAAAAAATGCTGGGTTTAAAGTGGTGGTAATCATGATGAAGAAATTCCATACAGACTTCACATTAACAGTGTTTTTATTACCATGGGCATTGTGCACAAATCTCCTGCTGTATGTTGAAACTCCTTTCACAAGTCTCAGTGCCCTGTATGTTTTGTAATAAACTTTACCCACACGAGTCAATCTTCAGTCCTTTCTATGTGTGCTTACTCAATTTGAAACCTGATTCCCTCCCTGCTCTTTATTGAAGTAATCTGCCATTTATCTTCTGTGGTGTTAATAAAGATATTTACTGCACTTGAAATAATCAGCAGCCAAATGAGTTGCAGTTGGAAAGCACACACACTTATCTCTGTGGGGTTTTAGGGAATGAAATAACACTGGGCTCTGCCCTCGAGAGCAGGTGTGTTTGTGTGTATCTGTGTTGTTTTAGGGGAAGCAGGAGTGCATGGAAAATCCAACCATGCATTCCAGCAATTTCATGTGAATAAACCTCTGACCTGAGCAGCTCAACCTTTTTAAAGGCTCAACAGAGTAAAAAATTGACTTAAAATCAAGATATTGCTCCCAAATCCCAGATTTTCTGTCCATGTTCTTTCTAAAAGCTGCCTTTACCAAAGGATGTTGCAGAATATGAAGGTATTTCATATGGGTGGGTGAGCTGGTAGCAATTGGTCAGGGCTGTTGTGAAGCAGGATTGCTCAGCTTGTCCTGCAGGGAAAAACTGAAGGACCCTGAGCGAGTTTGAACCTGTTGGATTGGAGCTGTTTATGTTTTAAATGACTGCTGACCATGAGAGCTCCTCCAGCTTCCTGAGGGATTTAGCAATGCCCTCGGGGAGGGAGCCTCCAGCACACAAACAAACACTTGGTCTGCACAACACCAGTTTGGAAAGAGGCTGATAAAACAGTGCAGCAAAAAACGGTGGTGGTGGAATGCAGGGAGCTTGTGTGATGTTTGGGGCTCGTTTTGTTTTCCTTGTTTCTAGCTGTTCACTTGGAGTATCCATTTCCAAGAGGGAATATCCTTGCCCTTGCTCATTTAAGCACTGATGTCATGAAGAAGTGCTGGTTTTATTTTTCAGTGAGGTTGGGTTAGAGGACAGACTGTTACCTCATCACTTGTTACCTCATCAGTAATTTTAATTTACTAACTTTAGACTGGCTTTGCTTTTCATCAAACAACCTCTTGCTTTATAAGCCACACCCCACTATCTGTTGAGGATAAGATCCTGAAAAGTGTTTAGTAGAAAGGGGAATTGCCAGTAGGGGGCTCAGAAATATGCAATATTTAATTGCACAGGAGCAGTTTTTGTGGCATAAAGACAAGGCTGGAATCATCAGGTGCTCACCTCTGAAAGGTCTTACCTGCTTTGTCTGTGAGACTTTCCTTGGGGTAAATCTTTCCCTGGGAGCATTTGCTGCCTTTTCATCCTCCTCATCTTCCTTAAATGAATGAAAGTCCATGAAGGGTAGGATGGCATCAATCAATCAGTGCCAGGGCTCCAAAATGACAGAGAAGCAACAGACAGTGAGGTGTTGCTGTATAACCCCCAGTTTTCAGGTGCCTGCCTCTCTTCTCCACCTTTCTTTCTTCACTCTTGCTGTTTCTGGTTTTTCTCACTGCCAGCTTCTGTCTAACAATCATAGAAATCCAGAGAAGAAAGCTTGGGAGCAAACAAAAGCACCACAGTGGAAAGAGAAGATGAGAAAGACACCCAGGATAGACAAAAAGGCCTGAATCCTGAGATGGGGTTTGCAAGACTTGGGCTAAAGCTGAAGGTAGAGCAGGAGGAAGAAGAGGGTGAGGGGAAGGTATGTACAGCATGTGGTCTGTCTGTGTGTGGTGCCACCAGAAACGAGGCTGAACCAGAGCCAGGGCTGCAAGAAACACCTGATGTGATTCTTGTTGTTAGAGCCCCTCAAACTTCAGTTGTGTTTTGAAATTGTCAAGGTTGTAATTGGAGAGGAAATGCTTCTGAAGGGACTGGAGTTTCTCTTTGTTTCCTGTCACTTTCTGGTGGCCACTGCAGGACCCTGAGTCCATACATGTGTCTGTGCCTAAAGGTATTTGTGAGGTAAACACTCAGGTGCATGTGGTTAGTAACACAGATTTGTAGTCACTTGTGGGTTTGTATCATCACATACACAGGAGTGGATTGTGTTAGAGCACAGAAACTGCACTTAGGAGGGGCTTGGCTGTGTGACCCACGTGTTTTCCCACCCCTTCTCCAGCACAGAATCCCAGCATGGTTTGGGTGAGGATCCTAAAGCTGATCCCAGTCCACCCCCTGCCAATGGCAGGGACACCCTCCAGCTACCCCAGGCTGCTCCAAACCTGTCCAGCCTGGCCTTGGACACTTCCAGGGATGGGGCATTGGCATCTCCCAGGGATGGTCAGCATTGCATTCATGCCCAGAGCTCAGCAGCAGGGGATGAAATGAATTCAATGTCACTTTGCACAGCTCCTTTTCATTTATTCCCTTTTCACACACAGGCCTGTCTGCTTCAGATTTCAAACCTGCTGGCTGGCTCTCAGGAAAAAAAATAATACAAGAAAATCTCTTAATGCCTCTCATTGTTTTCTCCTTAACATGGAAGTGATTAACTTATTTCCAAAAGCAGTGTTGGGATTAGGTGCTTTATACCAAAGTTTGCTGTAAAACTTCCCCATGTCCTACAGTTCAGTAAAAATCAGCAGCTGCTGATGGTTTAGTGCTGGATGAACCCTTGGAAAGGCTCTTTTCCAACCTAAATGGGTTCCTGATTCCATAAGTGTTATTAGCCCTTGGAAGTAATTAGGGCTTCTCATTTACCAGATGTTCTGATTTCATAATTAGCAAGATGACTTTGCAGGATGGTTTTGGTCCAGGTAGGAGGGAAGGAGTGGAAGCAGAAAGCTGGGCATGGACTTCATTCATGTGTGTGCAGAAGGATGGGAGGCCTTCTGAAATCAGGAGAGAAGGCTGAAGTTTTGCCTTTACTCCTTGATGAAAAGGGCATTAAATCTTTCAGAAGCTTGCCCAGTGGCAGGCTGGATGTTTAAATCCTCCCTGAACAGCTTGTGGGCACAACAAAACACATTTCTGGCTGGCCTTTGCTTGTGCAGTCTGGAAGCTGTGCTGAAGCAGAATAAGATGTTGGGATTTTTGTAGCTGGCAGGAGACTTGAACCTTTGACTCAATATACTGATTTGTCTGGCATTATTTGCCTTTTGAAGTCTTGTCATGAGAAATGTCAACATTTTTCACAGATCCTCCTAGGGATGTCATTGAATACATTGAACAGGTGTGTCACAGGCAGTCCTGATGCTCCTGCTCTGACAGAGGGGTGACAATGGGACACTCACCACCACTGTGACTGTGCCAGCCTTGGTGTTTTCCCCTGGGAAAACATTCCCTCGAAGGGAGATGGATGAGGAGACTTCACTCATCTCCAGTTTGGTGCAGGGAGAACCAGAATGTGTTTGCTTGAGTAACTTGGTCATGGCTAAGTGTAGGTAGGCACTGTTTGAGTTGCTCCACCTTGCACTTTTTCATGGGCAATTTTTTTCCAAGGATTGACTGGTCTGGGCAATTCTAAATCATATTTATTAACATGTGTGTCTTGTTTTGTTTTCTAGTCATCGTTGGAGGCCCCTTGGAAAACCAGTACAGGCTAAAGCAGTTCCACTTCCACTGGGGAGCTGTCAATGACTGGGGCTCAGAGCACACAGTTGACTGTAAATTTTACCCAGCTGAGGTATGAGATGAAATCCTGAACAATGCAAATGCTTAGCTCAGGTGTGTCTGTGAAAACTCCCAATTGAGGAATTGCAGTTTATTTTGAAGTGCTACAGCTCATCTGCTGTTTTATTCTATTAAAATTCTCTGTGTTTTCTGGAGAACAGCCTGAAAAGTGGACATTGGCCCCATTACTGAAAGTTAAAAATCACTTTGCTTATTGTTACTAAATTTTTCAGAGAAACAAACATACATTTTTAAGAACCATCACCTTATTTTCTGTTTGCAACTGATGAACAGTTACTAAAATAGCAAAACTTTGATACTTAAGTAACTGCTAAGAAAGAAAACATCAATAAAAAGGATGAAGTCAGTGAAAATGTGAAACTGTGACAGCTCTGACCACAGTTCTTTGCCAAAGGAGAAGAATTTGTCAAGTGATGATGGGTTATTTTTAAGAGAGTTTCTCTCCTCTTGGTGTGTTCGTGGTGCTGCTGCCAGCTTGGCAAGATCCTCATTAACAGGGAGACTGTGACTAAGTTTTGGGCTGGGTATTCATTTATCACACAAAACCCCTCAATGTATTGGCTGCCAGCAGTGCAGAGGAGGATTGTTGTGTGCAGGAGGATGTTCCTCAGCAGGACAGGGTGCTCTGCTCCTCCTGGGAAGAGAGGAAAGAGATGGAAGAGCCAGCTTTATCAGTGCCTTTGCCACAGGCTAAACCTCTTTTAAATGTGGTGGGTCCTAACTATGGGTTAAAGCAAGACAAAAAAGGAAGGGAAGGACCATTATTTACCAAGAGCACTCAGTTCCTCATTTCTGTGGTTTCTGAGGGGCTCCCTGCAGTGCTCACCCTGCCAGGATCAGCAGCCAGGTGTGGTGTCTGTACTCAGGGCAGGGCATGACTTCTCTGTCACTGCTCTTTCAGCTGCATTTGGTGCACTGGAATGCTGTGGAGTACCCGAGTTTTGAGGAGGCTGTGATGGAAGGGAATGGTCTGGCTGTTATTGGAGTGTTCTTAAAGGTAATTTTGTTCTGTGGGGCCTTTCTGTTTGCATTCTGTTCAAGCCAACTTAGGGCAATGAAGGGAAGGCTGAGAGGGGATCCCATCAATCCCATCAATGTTCCCAAAGGGTGTCAGAGGATGGTGCCAGGCTCTGTTCAATGGTGCCAGTGACAGGATGAGGAGCAATGGCCAGAAACTAAAAAAGTTTCACCTCAATGTGAAGAACTTTCTGTTGAGGGTGGAACAGCTGCCCTGGGAGGACATGGAATCTCCTTGTGTGCAGACATTCCAGACCCAGCTGAATGTGCTCCTCCAGCCTTGGGCTGGATGATCTCCAGAGCTCCCTTCCAACCCTAAATATCCCGTGGTTATGAAAAAATACTTAGGCTGATAGGTAGAACTGATTGATTATTGATCAATCTTATTGATTCTCCACCCCTCCCTGTCCCTGCAGCTGGGAGCACGGCACGAGGGGCTGCAGACCCTGGTGGATGCCCTGCCAGCAGTCAGACACAAGGTCAGTGCTCTGAGGTGTCCCACCCATTGCCACCCAGCAGAAAGGACACCCAGAAAAGCTTTCTTCCTTAAATGTTACTGGGGAGGCTCATTGACACCTTGGAAGGGGGAAGGGAAGGTGATTTTTCAGGAGGAATTGGACACTTTAAGCTTTCCAGACCTCTTGGAGAAATGCTGCTCTTCGAGATTGGTTCCCCTTACAAGGACATGCTTGAAATGGGGGTTTGTTTACTGTGGCATTAAGGCTTTTTGATTTCTCTCTGATCTTTGAGGAGGTTATTTGCTTTTTTATAAACAGTGGATTTTTGCTGGGGGAACGGGATCGTTCCTGGCAGGCTCCTGCCAGGAGAGGGAGCGCTGAGTCTCTGACAGAAGCAGCATTTCCTGCTTCCCCTGCCTGTTCCCTTCTGAAAGTACACTCAGAAAACCACATCGACCACTTCAACTTCTAATCTCATCCAGCTGAAGTCGCTGTGCCACTGCTTCTCACGTGAAGGAGATTGTAAACCCCAAATAAAACAAGTTTTTATATCAGAGCAGTGACAGCTCTGCCAGATAAACACCAAACATGTCAGTTCAGTGCCAGAAGACCTCCCCAAATCTGAATGTACATCTCTTGTGATAATATCATTTACAGTATGTGAATTTAAAAGAAACTAAGCCAAGATCCCCCAGTATATCCTGAAACTCCCCCGGGTGCAATGTTTGGGTGGGAAATCCTGGGCTTTGAAGCTCCTGATATATCCCACGAGTGGGAATGAACATTCTGGAAATGGGAATATTTGATTTAAATTAAACTTCAGTCCTGTTCCTGCTGCCTAAAATCACATGGTGAAAAGTAAACCACTTTTTGTTTGCAGTCTTTTAAGGATCTGGCACAGCTACCTGAACTTATTCCACCATTTGTTCCCTCTTTTTCCTGGCTGCACCCAGCTCCCACAAAGCCTTAGGCCCCTGATCCTTCTCACTCCTTGTTTCTCCTGCACTGAATTCCTAATGGCAGAAATATTTAACTTCTGTCTGCTCAGCAGCTGCCCCTTACACCTCAAATCCAATTTCACCCAAATTTGAGGGATTTAAAATAATAACATCATTAATATTCCCAACACCCCATTTCCCATGCACACACAACACAGTTTTTAACCTCACTCTCAAGATACTTTTCAACTTTCTGTCCATTTTTTTTCTCCAAACACCTTAAAACCATCCTTAAAAATGTTTTTTCCCTGCTGTTTAGGACACTGTGATCGAGTTTGATGTCTTTGATCCCTCGTGCCTGCTCCCTGCCTGCCCGGATTACTGGACCTATGCGGGCTCCTTGACCACTCCCCCCCTCACCGAGTCAGTCACGTGGATCATTAAGAAGAAGCCGATCGAGGTGGATGAGGATCAGGTAAATCTCAATTTTCCTTTCAGATCACGCCTCTTGCTGCCACACAGATGCTCAGAACCAGTTGTTTGCCAGTAATTCTCTGTGCAAAGACAAAAATTCTCTGTGTTTTCAGACATCTGCGACTGTTTCAACCCAGGATTTGGGGAGGAATCCTGGCATTAACAGCCACTAGTACTGAAAGACCTCTCCAAGATATTTTTCCAGCTTTATTCAACCTTTCCATCTATTCTCAAGAGTTTTATCTTGATCTGTCATACAGTTCTGGAAGCTGACCCTTGAAAACTTGGGGGGGTTTTAGGAACTTACTGGAATTCTTTTAATTTTGCTCTCCTTAGCATGATGCAGCCTCTTTGTGGAGGGAAGGGAAGAAGGGAGGATTTTGTGAGCTGGAAATTGTTAACAGAGAACTGCAGACAGAGTGTGGCATTCCTTTAAATTGAAATTGTTCTCATTTTTTTCTCTTTTTCTTGGCTCTTTACTCTCATAGCAGTGACTTACCATTGGAATGGCCTTGTGAGCATTAGAACCTGATCTGCTGCTTTATTTTAACCCCAGTTACAAACCAGTGAGAGGAGAATAACTTGGGCATTGTTGGGGTTCCCTCTTTTCTGGGTGCCAGGGAGGCTGTAAATGGAGATTGGATGAAGTATTTTAGTGGCAATAGCTCTCTCAGGTGTGCCACACTTGGGATTTGATTTCCCTAAGGGTAGCAGATGACTGATAACCCTTCCATGCTGGTGTGGATACCAGCAGGTGTGGGTGGTAAAACCCCTCAGAACACAAACCTAGTGCCACATTTGGGATTTGATTTCCCTAAGGGCAGCAGATGACTGATAACCCTTCCATGCTGGTGTGGGTAATGGGACAATCTTTATCAGCAGCTGTGGGTGCTAAAACCCCTCAGAACACAAACCTGGTGCCACATTTGGGATTTGATTTCCCTAAGGATAGCAGATGACTGATAACCCTTCCATGCTGGTGTGGATACCAGCAGATGTGGGTGGTAAAACCCCTCAGAACACAAACCTGGTGCTACCTTGGGTGCCACATTTGGGATTTGATTTCCCTAAGGATAGCAGATGAGTGATAACCCTTCCATGCTGGTGTGGATACCAGCAGATGTGGGTCCTAAAACCCCTCAGAACACAAACCTAGCACTACCTTTGGTGCCACCTTTGGGATTTGATTTCCCTAAGGGTAGCAGATGACTGATAACCCTTCCATGCTGCTGTAGATAATGTGACAATCTTTACCAGCAGCTGTGGGTGCTAAAACCCCTCAGAACACAAACCTGGTGCTACCTTTGGTGCCACATTTGGGATTTGATTTCCCTAAGGGTAGCAGATGACTGATAACCCTTCCATGCTGGCGTGGATACCAGCAGGTGTGGGTGGTAAAACCCCTCAGAACACAAACCTAGTGCCACCTTTGGGATTTGATGTCCCCAAGGGTAGCAGGTGACTGATAATTCCATGCTGCTGTAGATAAGGTGACAATCTTTACCAGCAGCTGTGGCTGCTAAAACCCCTCCGAACACAAACCTAGCGCTCCCTTTGATTTCACTCCCCTCTCTGAGGATAAACTCTTGTCCTTTGCCATGAATTCCCTGCATGGGGGGTTCCTGGGAGGTGACAGGAGTGGCCCTTTGTGCTTCCCAGCTGGAGGCCTTCAGGACGCTGCTGTTCACGTCGCACGGGGAGGAGGAGAGGAGGATGGTGGACAACTTCCGCCCGCTGCAGCCGCTGATGGACCGCACCGTGCGCTCGTCCTTCCGCCCCCAGCTCGGCCCGTAGCTGCCCCAGCCCTGCCCTTGCTGCCATGCCCTTCCTTGGCTGGCCCCAGGAAAGCTCTGGGGGTTGTTAGTTTTGATTTTTTTTTAAAGAAGTGAGTGATATTTTAACCCTTAACTTGTTCCGAGGCAGCGGTCAAGAAGGAATTGTTAAGACAGATAAAGAAAAGGACAGGAGAGCTCCTCCCCTGCTCCTTCTCTGGATTGTTCTGTGTTTCTTCAAATGCTCTTTCAGTGCCTTGCATGAATTAGTAATCCTGGGTAAAAATTCTTAAGAAAGAAGAAGTGGGAAGCAAAGAAAAGTATCAGGCCTGAGCAGGTCCTTTTAGGGAATTGTTTGATGTTTGGGAAGAGAGCTGGAAGGGAACTGGCTTGTCTCAGAGACATTTTACCTTCTTCCTTTTTCCTTGGATGAGAGGAGAAGGGAAAAATGACTTCCAGGATCTCTTTCCATTCTGTTGGCTGCACATTCCGTGTTTGATGTGGGTGCCACAGAATGCCCACTGCAAGGACACCAGGAGCCAGAGGACTTTTTCTAAAACCTTTTAACAACTGTAGAAGCTTTGGCAGCTTTTGTTTCCCCCTGTTAATAATCTATCAGGAGAAGGGAGGAGAAGAGAATTCACCAGTGTCTCAAGACTGGCAAGAACAGCAAATTCAGGTGAAAATGTTCAATTGATCCCAGGAAACTGATCACATCAACAGAAGGCAAGATTAGATAAAGCTGAACCTCCCAGTGGGATGGGGAGGGCAAAAACCCAAACCAATTCCTAAAACCAGTGCTAGGAGAGTGTGGACAAAACTGAGAAAGGGCTTTTATTTCAGTAACTCAGGGAGCACCAGTGCTCTCTTCAGTTTTGCCTTAAGATGTATTTTCCTATAAAAACACTTACCCAGCTTCAGGACCATTGGGGACCAGTTGGTTTTTATTGCACCTTATGGGAACAAGGCCCAGTGGGGGTTGGAATTGATTTGTGGACAAGCAGAGCTGCTGTGAGAGCTGCCAGCTCCCAGCCCTTGCCAGGAGCTGTGATCCAACAGCCCCAGGGATCCCTGACCTCTCACATCCTACTGAACCTGATCTTCTCTCAGGCCTGTCTGCTCTGCTGAATTTAGCAGATCAAATTCCTGCACCAGATCTCTGATGAGGAGCAGCTCTGTCTGTGTCATCTCCATGGGATGTTTTTCAGGAATCTTTTCAGGAATCTTTCCTCCCTCTGTTTGATTGCTGGTGGGATTCAGTGAAGCCACAACCTGGCTTGGCAATGCTAAATCCAGACCTTTCAAATTGCTACTTTGGTTTTTTTAAAGTCCAGCTATTCAGTTTCAAAGCACCTTAACACTTTTCAGTGTGAGCCTGATGTTTTTAAGGGTTTGAGGTCACGTTTTGAAGCAGTTGAGTGCCCAGATCCTGCCTTTCCTTCCTCAACAGCTCTACCTCAGGCTGTGTTCTGGTGCCACAGTTGTGCCTTTGTCCCTGCAATGTGGCCCCTTCAACTGAGTGACTCTGGGTGCTGGAAGGAAGGGAATCTCCCTCTCTCCCAGTGCAGGGTATTTTTCCTGTTGGGAATTCAGTGGAGCTCCTTGGTTTCACCAGTTCCCCCAAGCCCTCCCTGTCAGGGGAACATTTCCATCTTGGTTGTGCCATCTCCCTTTGGATGGGGCTGGGATTATCCTGGGATGGTGGGAGGTGTCCCTGCCATGGCAGGGCTGGCACTGGATCAGCTTTCAGGTCCTTTCCCACCCAAACCATTCCAGGATTTTCTGATTCCATGATCTCAGTTGAACTCTGCAGGCTTTGCCATCATCACTCAGATTTTCAGCTACAGAACCACATCAGTGATGAATTTGCTGGAGAATGATACATTCCAAAACAAAGCTGGAAGGAACATCTACAGTCCAGGGAACAGGAAAATAATTATTTTACTTTTTGCCTGAATACATAATAATGATGATCCAGTCATTAAGTCTGAGGTATTTATTCAGTGCTGTTCTTGCAGACACTTTCTGAGGAGGAAGCTGGAGAAAGATGGCAGCAGCTCAGATATTTTCTACTCATTAATAGAAAAACTTGTAATACAAAGACATCTTAATGTTGCCTTCTATTTAAACCAGAGCTGCCTCAGCAGCACTGGGCTGTGGGTGCATCAATCTCCTTCTCATTTATGAATGGATCTTTTAAAAAGCTTTTCTAAATGCTCAGTTTTTAAATTGCTTTTGTCATTTCCACTGAGGTTTTGGATTTCTCTGATCCACTAAGAAGAGTCACCAGCTGATCCAGCTTTCCCAACAAACCCAAAACCCAGATTATTTTAGGGAACTGCCAGGGTTTAAGAGTTCAACTCCAGCTGCTCTGGAGCAGCCTCACAGCCACTGAGCTCTCCATGCTTTGCTCCTTTCAATCAGATTTTCCTCCTGGATGTGTAAATCCCTTTTGAACCCCCCTGCATCCATCAGAGGGGATGTGGGATATTCCCTTCCCTGTGATCCAGTTCAAGTTCTCAGAGAGATTTATTTCAGGTTCTCACAGAGATTTGCTTTGTTCAAGTATTGCCATGGAAGCTTTGTTAGAGAATAGTGAATTACCCAGTGATGCAGTTAAGCTGTGTCCATATCTCCATCAAATCACACTTATTTTTACTGACATAAAATAAAGAAATTCCAATTATAGCACTGATCACTTCAAATATCTGAAAACAGGGTTAATGTAGATTAAAAAAATAACTGTACTGTGCTACAAAAAGAAGCTTTACAGGGTTTTACATTTATTTTGCTGTTTCTTGAGTCCTGCATTTATGTGTAGTGTTTTAGCATCTCCTTAAGGCAGGCAGGAGCTCAGCTGCAGGGCAGATTGTTGGAATTAATCTGGAAATGAACACACTGAGGTTTGTTTGTTTGTTTGTTTCCAGTGTAACTTTCCTGTTACAATGACTTTATTGACCTTGTGAATGTAAACTTTAGGAAAATAATTGTGTTTAAATCAAGAGATGGGATAGAATTCCTGTGCCTTATTCTCTCATCCAGTTCTGTGTGGAAAAATTATTTGATTGTTGGGTTAGAGCTGATTTTGCACAATTAAGTTAAAAAGGAATTTTTGGGCTCTTTTGGGTGGCACAATACAAAAGGGTCAAAGCACACATTTGTATTTTCCTTGCATAAGAGTCACTTTATTAGTGAATACTGCCCTGGGAGGCATTCCTGGGGCAGCAAGTCCCAGCAGTTAAAGACTCACAGGAAGAACTGGGGGACAGCTCCCTGCAAAGGGAGGAGCAGGAGGAGGTGTGGAGGTCAGTGCTGCTCTGATTCCAGCTGCCTTTAGGGATTCCTCTGAGCTGCTGCTCCCACCTTGGCCTGGCTGCCTTCACACTGGGGACACCTTCCTCTGGTGTTGGGGTGTTTGGTCCCCGTTCCTGCATTCCAGAACTTTCACTCTGCAGGCATTCCTGCCCACTTCTGTGCTGCCTTTTCTGGCAGGGATGACAGGAGGGTATCCCCTGGCTTTGGAAGCTCCAGAATTGGAGTTTGCTGTGATCTCCAGAGGGTTTGAGAGGACTGGAATTCTGCTTTGGATGAAGGGTCCCCTCATGCCTTAATTTGGGATGTTTTAACTTGTATTTCCTGGCACATCTTGGCTTTTTTTTTTTGTTTGTTTGTTTGTTTGTTTGTTTTGTGCATCTCATTTCTGTGGCCTTTATGATGTTGTGTATTTAATGTGTGTTACCTGCCTGACCATAACTGAAATCACTGTCTGCAGACAACACCTGGAACAGGGAATGCTTTTTGCTTTCCTGGGGTCCAGGCCCTTCCCCAGAGTTCTTCCCTGATGTACAGAACCCTTCAGCTGCTGCATTTTACACTGTTACATTAGAGTGCAACTACAATAAAGGAACAGAGAAACCCATGCTTGTATCTGTTGTGTAATTAAGCTTTTCAAGTTAAAAAAAAAAAAGAAAAATCAAATTTCCTGTCAAAAAAAGATCAGAATTGCTCTTTGGGAATGCCCCAGTTCATTAGGAGCAGAGTCTGATCAGCTGGCAGATGTTCTGTGATCCTTCCAAGCCCTGAAAGGCTCTGCTGAGCTGTGTTAGAGTGAAAGCACAAAGAGCTCCCTGTGCTGCTGGAGGGTGTCCCATGATTGATCACAGCCAGGCAGATGCCTCAGGCCATCTCCAGCAGCATCCCAGGACCTTTCCTGAGCTCCTTCACTGGACACTGCCCATTCAGCTGGCCCTGTCAGCTGAGCTCCTTCCTCTGTCCTAACACTGAGCCTGGAGCTGGGTGCTGTGACTCAGCTGCTGCTTGTGCCTACAGCAATGCTGTCAAATAAGCCAAAAAAACCCTTTAAGTCGATTAAATTACTGATACCAATTAGAAGTTGATCAAAGAGAGAGGGTTTGGATGGAATATTGGGAAGGAATCACAACTGTGAGGGTGGGAGGCCCTCACTCAGGGTGCCCAGAGCAGCTGGGGCTGCCCCTGGATCCCTGGCAGTGCCCAAGGCCAGGCTGGACAGGGTTTGGAGCCACCTGGGACAGTGGGAGGTGTCAGGGTTGGAACTGGATGAGCTTTAATGTCCCTTCATCCCAAATCACCCATGATTCCGTGAACTTTGGGTGAAATAAGTGTTAATTTCTGTCTCACAGCTGAGCCACACCTGGAGTCCAGCTCTCACCCAGACAGGTTTTGTTTAGCTGGATTAATCCCAAGAAGTTTCTCTTGATAAGAAAAACAGGAGATTCCATTCCTGGTTAAGGAATCCCCCTAAAATGATTGTAGGTGACGTTTCTAGAAGGTTCCCCAAGTGTGCTGGTGGGTGGGCAGCCCATTTTCTTGTGGAGAAAGAGTGGCCTGGGTTAGGAGTGAGGCCAGCTCAGCTCTTGTGACCATTTAATGGTTCTAGAAGTGCCACCCCTTCCATTTACCCCGGAAAAGCAGCTCTGAGCTCTTTATCAGCACCGCTGAGGTGTTTGCTGGAGAAATGGGGGATTGATGCCAGCAGGATCAAGGCAGCTTTTCCAAATAACTGCTTCAAAACATCC